ATTCCTTTGAATATCCTACCTCTATTACCGGTACATCATAGCCATAAATTACTATTTAGGCTGTCATCACACTATAAAATCTTTTAATGTTCAACAGATGTCCTCTTCACTGTCAACTATTTGATTTGTTTGGGGGTAAACTCTATCCTCAATCTCAATGCAACTGTGCATGCACAAGGTGGGAAACATAACTTCTTTCCTGTGTGTGCTGGTGTTAACATAAAACTGTTTAATGACCTCCTCAGAGAGACACAAAGATGGCACCAGAGTGATGAATAAAAAAAGGGGGAACTCTGTCTACCCTTTTGAGGCTAGATCCTGTTTCACAACCCACCCACACACCCAAAACTAAGGAGCAGGAATCCAGCTCTGGTCTTCGGACAACAGTCTGAATGCTAGTTTGGTCCCTCAAGGTTTGTCAGAAACCTCTGAGCCCAACTCTATTCAAGTTACCCCCTTGGGAAAAGGAAGGGACTATCATGCTCAAATCTCATCCTCTATCTGTCATGGAAGTAATAGACACCATACTTCCCAGGTCCATAAACCTAATACCATACCAGGAGGCAATATTTGGAAGCTCGGGAACAATTTTCTCAGTCCAGAAAGCATGTTCCCTCAGCCATAGACACATGTGACAGTCATGTTTATTGATCTGATGAATTTGATTCACCAACCTATTACATCATGCAACTTGAACTCGTTGGCTCACAGTGCAACGGCCTTGGGGTGGGGGGCTACTGGCTCTTCTTGTGATGAAGATACCACACTCGCTTTCAAACCTAATAACTATTCATAGAAGGATATTATTTACAAACTACACCGGCTTATCCCTTCCTTACTTCCAGGGATATTATCTCTTATCCACTCTGGCATAGTATGTCACAGTCAGTTTTGGCTCCACAATTCTATAACAGCAGACTGACATCCGTTATTGATCAACTTTCACGTTTCACACCAATAAAAAAAATCCAAATTCAACTATCTTTATGGCATCGAGGTAAACATGAATCGAACAGCAGATGCCAAGAATCAGAAGGAATCCTCATGCTTTTCATGCCCCTACCTGGAGAAATACTTCTTCTCACCCCTAGCCCTAGCCAAGCAAGAAATGACCCCGTCGTACCACAAAGGGGCACTTGCTACTCGAGGTTGTAAATAGAGGCTACAAACTTTTTTTCCATCATCTCCATTCATCCCTGGGCTTCTGGGTACATCCCAACAAGGAGTTAGAGCCAACTCAAGACACTGTCTACATAGGGGCAAGGTTTCATCTACTAAAAGGTATCTTGGTGCCTCCAGAGGATGGATATCTAAGGGCAAGGGAGATGATCTGAAAAATGCTCGATCAGCCCATCAGGTCGCGCCGTTGATATATGTCTTGCCTAGGCATGCTAACTTCTCTCAAAGATCTAACCTACAGAGGGAGTCTACAGTTTAGGCTCAAATGAATACTTCCTGAAATATAGAACTGGAAGATAACCCCTCCTGGCCAGTTATTGGAATGACTTTGGTGGCTCCAGCATCACAGTGTTTTGCCAGGCATTCCTCTCATATTTCGGACTGCCTCCATGGTCTTGTGGTAGAGTGTCTGCCCAGGGATCAGAAGGTCGAGGGTTCGATCCCCGCTGCATCATACCAAAAGACGTTAAAAGATGGTATTTGTCATTTCCCTGCCTGGTGCTTGGCATTAAGGTGATAAAACAAGGACTGGTCGGCTCAGAGTGAGTATACTGTGTCTGAGTACAATATAAAATTGGCTTTAGTCCATTAGCACCTGCACACGTATGCATGCAGATATCATTATATAAGTGCAATAATCTTAAATGCAACGTTTAACCCCATTTCACAAACTGGATCGGGTGGTCAGGTTCGCTGACTTGGTTGATGCATGTCATCGTATCCCAATTGTATGGATCGATGCTCATGATGTCCATCACTGGATTGTCTGGTCCAGACTTGATTATTAACAGACCACTGTCATATAGGTGAAAAATTGCTGATTGCGGCGTTAAACAACAAACAAACAAACAAAATTAAACCCCATTTCACCTCACTTCTCACATTTCCCACATCACCTGTACTCAGACATGTCAGGCGAAGGATGGGGAGGTCACATAGACGCCATCACAGTCACAAAATGCATATCAGTTGTCTGTAAATGAGCTATATTATCCAAGCAGTCAGAGCATGAAGACATCTGTTCCACCACAGGTCAGAAACCACAGACAACACAACAGTGGTAGTATATATAAAGCATCAAGGGGGCACGAAGTCAAAAACATTTGTTGAAAGAGGTTACAAATTTATTTGCTTTGGCAGGCCCGATGAGTTGCAGGGTGGAAGCATGTCATATATGAGGCAAGTTAAACATACTTGCAGATTGCCTGTCTCAGAAGCACAAAGATCATGTTCATGGAATGATCCCTCCATCCCAGGGTATTAAAATGAATCACCCCTACGTTCAATACCCTACATCCAGATCTTCTTGCCACATACAGGCTACCTGTATTGCAAAAACAAATAACATACATAAATCAATTATCTATATGGAATGATTGTGGGGTTCAATTTGCATTTATTTAACCATCAGAAGATTTGATGATAAACTTTCTAAATTCATATTTGCTATATGATAATAATATCTACAAAATATACTTTATACCACAGGTGTCTTGAAATACTGTTGAATGAAAATCAGGATACATAACTACAGCAGGATAGTGTGTGGGTTTGTATGGGAAATAATTTGTCAACATTAAAATAAATATAATGTTACTAAAACAAGAAGATAAAACTATGATTTACATCTGTTTATGCATCATACACATTTTGTTGGGTAGTCAGTATGATTTGTTGTTTGTTGGGACAAATCTCTGTACTTTACTACTATTTTAAGAGCATGGGTATCAGAATTCTGTAAGAAATGATGGAACAATGAATTAATTACCGTAACACCTATGATGACTCAGCGCACATAATGGTGGGACACATGTTATAAGGGGCAGAATAATATGGGTAAATCTCATATTTCAAAGTATGATGACTAATATGTATATTGCAACTTAGTAACTTGGTGCCTAATAGATGCATGGTAGATTTCATTTGGCATATTTCTAAAAAATGATATAAATTTAAATATTCAGATGTAACTTTAATTTTGATATAAAAAGTAACATTTAAAATCAGTTGTTTAATTATTTTGAACGTTATTTCTTCTTAAAATATTTGTAAAGGCACGGATTTGTACCTACTTTATAGATCATTGGTAAAGGCCTGTCAAAGATGTTTGTGTGCTGCAAATGTAGGCGTATCACTAATTTTATTAAATTGAAGCCCATGGTGGTATTTGTTGAGATTTGAATGCTTTGAATTGTGGTGGGAAATAACACAAAGGCTGATAAATAAAATGATTCTGCATTATTTCATCGATGCAATATGTTAGCCCAGACTGACAGAATGCCTCGCTGTTTTCTGAGGTAGAAAATACTGTGGCAATATATTGTTTTTCATGACGTTTTTCCAGCTATCTTCCATAGTGACAATTCGTCTTGTGGTTGACGATTCAACAAATGTTGATATTATAAACTAATAATCACTACAAAATATGTGCTAGTTAAAAACATTCAGTTGTAAACAACCGTTTTTGAACGAAGGTGCAACAGGGTAACTCTTCAGCTTGGCTCCGTCTCTACATGTCACTAGTTGTCGCAGCGCGCATTGATCCGGGAACCAGACCGGAGCGTCAGCTTGGACCGTCGCTTATATCATTTCAAAAGGAGAGTTATTTCCCTTTGGAACAAAAAGATCACCCATTGTATGGCAGCCTCCACAATCTCCACCTTCATGCCTGGAAACTATCATGTCAAAGATGCAAGTTCTCGGTTTCTCTAAGTCAGCTTCAGAAGTGGTGGCTAGCTCATTGAGACCCTCTTTATCAGCCATCTATAATGTCAGGTGGAGAAAGTTCTGTCAATGCTGTATGGAAAGAGGTTTGCAAGACGTGGATATAATGATACCTACAGTGCTGATTTCTTACTCTATCCCAGAAAGGATCAGAACTCCAGAAATGGCACTGTTGAAGGCTACAGATCAGCACTTGCTTCAGTACTGCAACATGATGAACTCCCTGTACTCACCCAGTACTAAATCGACTTACGAAATCATTTTCTCTGGAGGATATAAACGCCCAGCACACTTTCCAAAAATGAAATTTATCAATTGTCCTGTCAGCCTTGATGGAATACCCATACAATCCTATGACAGATCCTACAGTACCAACAGCTTTGAAAAAGACAGCTTTTCTCCTAGCTATGGTTACAGCAGCAAGGATGTCTGAGTTACACACCATTGATATTTCCTCAATCATGCATGCACAAGACTGGAGCGTTATATATCCTTCAGGTTTCCACTGGTGTTTGTCCCACTCAGACATAGACAATGTACTGTTCTCAGTTTGAGCAAAACAGTGGATTGTCCAGACAGGCTACATGTCCCATCAGAGCTCTGAGGTATTATATCAAAGCTACACAAATTCACAGAAACAAGAGGAAACAGCACTTTATCTCTTGCAAGCCTTCGTCAGAAAGGGCTGGAGAGCAACATGTTCAATGTACCGGAAGTTACATCACAAATGACCTCTGAACCAGAAGTGACATCACACGTGACCTCCAAATCAGAAGTGACGCCATTAGTAAGGCCAATTATTACAAACCAAGTAACAAGCATGACATCACAGAACTAGAAGTGATGCCATTAATGCCAAAATGTTGTTTTTTACCAGGGGTAAAATCAATAAATTAGGCTTTCTTTTTCCATGTTATGCTATCTATTCAAAGAATATTACATCAGAAATTTGTCCTTCCCACTCCCCTCCCACTTGAATCTAGCTGATGAATGCAATTAGAATGTAATGATTGGATGATGTAAGGCTGTTGATGAAGATATTTTCCATAAATTTAGCCTGAACTTGACTTTTATTAATATGTATTTGTCTGTTTCAGTCCCAACAGAAGACTCACATCTGCTGCCTATGCTAGGTGAGCATATTACTGTCTGTGTCATGAAAGGCTATAAATGTTCACATATGCATTTGCCTTGTCTAATGGTCTTTGATGAACTCCTTCGTTGTTGTGCATTCAATTTTTCCAGACCAATTAAATTGCAGCTTTGCAGAAATATTCCGACCATTGCAACATGATGTCTCTGTGCCAGGTTTCATTTACTTATGATTCTAATACCCAATTCACTTTGATGATGATCCTTGTTCTGTCAGGGCCATTCTGTTGCATGCTGGTTTCATCAACTTGGCCTATCTATGATTTGTGTCACGTTGGATTTTCCTCACATACATGTATTAAGTTTTAACTGACCAGGCTTGATAGAACTGAAGTACAATGTACTGCAGTGACTTTATGCCCAACTCAATCACTCTTTCCATAGTTTCAGTTTGATATATTTGTTTCTTCCTTCCAAACCATTCCGCAGGCCAATAGCATAACTACACCCCAAATAAAACTTGCAATAATAGATTACCAAGTAGGTTTTATGTATCATTTGGAATTATATATGATAAGCATAAATGCTCTCCTTTCATTTCACATCTGGTTTATGTCTCTAAAACAAATAGTTATTATTTCATGACACTTTGCACACAGAATGACTAGGTTGTCAACAGGGGCCTTTTGCTGTTTTGAGATTTTTAGAGTTTTTATTTTTTTCATATCCATGGCAACAAGTTTGCCATTGACACTGTTCATGGTGGTTGTCTGAACCATATCCCTAAAAATAATAGGTAAACACACAAAGACCAGGTTGTCAACTGGTGCCTTTTGCTGTTTAGGGACTTTTAGAATTTTTATTTTTTCTGTTTCCACTGAAACAAATTTGACATTGATGCTGTTCATATTGGTGTGTATCTGACAGAAATACACAGTTCCGGATCCCAATTCAATGATATTGTTTTAATAGCTCAATAACTACTTTTGTATCAGCACATAAAGGTGAAACGATACATTGATATTTCGATGCATCATGATTCTTTACCCACAATACGATACACGATACATTTTTGATAAACTCTAGTTTTACACTGGCGCGATGTTTTTCCCATTCTCAAATAAAATTATCAACTGATCACCGCGAGCACATATAACCGGAAATGCCACTCAACAAATGCGAACTGAAAGTACACAATTCAATCCCATTATTATACTATCTGGTTATAAAAACGTGTTCATTGTATATCTGGACTTCTGTTTTCAATATATTTTATGAATTTTATATAAAATTTTATTTAATATTGTTTACATTAATTTCTGCGAAATTGTTTGTGAAGTGATTGGTAGATCGCACATCTCACCGTTATTTACAGCAACCACGGTCAGATTACCGCTATTTACACCTTGAAACGAACTGTAGTTGCCAGAGAATGGATACATCTATTATGAATGCCATACTTTGACTTGTTAAAGGTCATATCTGGGGCAATTATGCTATTATATGTCAACATAACTAACGCAATCGAAATACATGTATCGTGGGAAGTCTGGTCAGATTGTTCCATAAAAATATTCCGCAATAGCAATCTGCTGTACAGCTTATGATTTTAAATATATGTGGTAAAGGCTGTAACTAAGGTAACATGATATTTTAATATATTATTCCTGATAAAACAATAATTTCAGATACAATTTCTTCCGACCTTTGCATCAAAATTCTTTGAAGTTGTGTCATTGGGTACTTTTTAACTAAATGACCAGTAGATTGGGAGAAAGTGTGTGTACAGCTGATTGCTATTTCTGGCTTGGTTTACGAGAAAATACAAATGGTAATCTTAATCTCTGCATATTAAACAATGCCTATGAGAGCAGGAGATATTTTAATGGTAAATCATCGTTTCTAGTGATGATGATCTTTTTATTGACCAAGTTGGTAATACCTGTTCATTCACCTGAATTCGCTGAAAGGATACGATGTGGTTTTATTAAAGCGTATTACACTCGCTGAATATTCTTTACACTATGAATCATAAACAACTACTATTCTAATTTTCTTTCTAACTCTGAAACGTAAATCCTAGATCATGTAAGGTAGGCACAGCATGTACTGTTGTGTTGTCATCTTCCCCCATGACTCCACCTCCGTTAAGACTCAACAGCAGGAGACATTGTCAGAACCCAGAGGGCATCACTGTCCAGACAGTCTTGACATTTTAATTTTTCTGAAAAAGAACCTGAAGTTGAACTATTCAGACTGTGAAGTACATTGATTATTTTCTGGTGTTTGAACTTTGAAGTTTTCTGAAATTAGGAGTGTTTTATAGGAAAAATCTTGCACATTGTGGTAAAAGGATGAAATTCAGCACACATGTTAACCTGTTGTTGCAGTGGACCAAACATTGTTTGCCATTGTCAAGACTATCCAGTGGAAATAACCATTATTCTATGGAGAGTCAAAGTTTGTAAACATTTGGGGAAGTCTGCACATCGAGTTGGCTGCACTAAGAGATTGCCACAGCTGGCACAGCAGATTCTTAATTCTTGAAGGCATCTCACATCACACGCACATGAAGGGCGCACCAGGTGACAGCTTCATGTACTGATAATATTCCTGCAAGATGCATAATAGGAGTATATGGAATCTGTTGAACACAGTATGGAGACGAAATGTCTTTGAGATTGGTGTATTGTGCAACTGTGTTGTCTGACATATAAGTTCTGGTACATGGTCCTTGAACTATGCTTGTGTTTGTGCGATCTATTCATACTGGCAACTTCCATCTGTATGTCAATTCCCTGACCAAGCTTGTTCCTTGTTTTTTGTTTTTCTTGACCACTACCACTATGCACGATGGATATCAGTCCACCTCCGAGACATGGTGACCTTTTTAAAGCTGCACCCCAATATCTAAGCTCAGTTCTTGAAGGCACATGTCACTATTGATGAAGCACATGAGCAGAATAATGCTGTGGTAAAAGATGATGGTGGAGCTGTTGGTCTGAGTGAGAATCCAGCTGCTCTCCAGAGATGGATGGTCAGTGGACCTGAGATTTCACATCTCATCAGTGACTTTGAAGTGTCATTTGATGATGCACAGATAAAACCTGACATGAGCCATCATGAACAATGTACCTGTGTGCAAAGGGCATTCATTGGAGATGTCACTTAATTGAAATCTGTTATTGAAGAGCCTGGTTATCCATTCCTTGAAACTAGTAGAGACCTTCTTGTACTTGATACACAGGATGTGAACAATACACAACACATTTGTGAAAGAGCGGCTTGTAGAAAGGTCAAAACCTATAGATGACCCAATAAAGAAGAATAAACCTCGTCTCTTTCATATACCAGTGAAACAACAGAAAACTAATGTTTAGGAGACTTTATGTCACTTGTCGCTTGTCGCTTTCTTTTCTCATGAGAATCAGGTAGGCCCACCATCGTTTCCAGACAGGTACAAACTCAGACTTGGCACTAAATCAGACATAGTTCAATGCCTCAAAGATTTTTTTGCTGGAGCAAGATGAGATAAATACAGCTACAGAGGTTGTAGTGAAGCCAGGTTCAACAAAGACTCTCATGATGTCTTTCTACCATACCTGATGTCACAGCTTGACAAGTGCCAATGAATAGATATTGTTTGGGATGAATATAGGTCAGACTCTTTGAAAGAACAAACTCGAGATACAGAGGTTAAAGGAGTGCGTCGTCGAGTACAGCCAAACAATCCAATAAAAAATACCTGGTGAGACTTCTTGAAACTTGCTGACAATAAAAAAAGAACTATTTATGTGATTATGCTCCCTTGCCATCAATGTACGGACCGTCTTTGTTATAGCGACAATCCTCAAACTGCTCCCTCTGAGGATTGACATTCTTCATCGAACTTGCATCAGGGAAGTCACTTCCTGATCAGTTCACAAATCTCAACTCTTCCCATTTGGGTTAAACCAGTATCTCATGCACTGATCCTCCATACTAGTTGGGACCACCGAGACCAGCTGCAGAGCGGGTAACCTTTCCTTTGATTCCTTTGTTCAGGCAGTCTTCACAGCTCTTCCACAACGCTCAGTTCTGACAGCTACGTCATGACCATTGAGTTCGGAGCAAATTCCAGTTTCCTCTCACTTGGCCCCCCTACGGTTTCAGTAATGATTGAACCTATGCCACTACCTGTTGGTTTGGATCCCAACTCATCATCATCCGCCTCGGCAGAGAGCTTTGAGTCCGCCAACTCCGAATCCATTCTCTGTTGGATTGCCACAAGTTGCAACTACGACAAACGGCTTCAGCTGCGGACTGACTTAAAGGTTTTGTGGTAGCATCAACCAGCTCTTCCAATAGTTCGCTTCCTCCAAGACTGGTATTATTATCACTGTCTGCATCCTCTCAGATCATGTACCTCGTCCTTGATTAACTTTAGCTCAGTTTTAATTGAGTCAATGTTCTTATTTACTCTCTCTTCTGATCCTCTAATTTCTTCAATTAATGTCCTCTTTAACTCATCAAGCCCAGGGTTAAGCTCAATGTCACCGGACAAAATTATTAGATTCATTTATCCAGTTTTCTATATGACAACAAAGTCGGGAAAGTTCTGCAGGTAACGATATTATCACAACACTCACCTGACATACACATTGATGGTGGCAGAATCAGTGAAGGTAACACAGAAGGTCTAGTTGATGCTATAGATGACCCTAGATACCACACAGAGGCCAGTAGTGTTGTACATAACAACAAACGATAAGCCACGTGGGTCTCGGCTGACCAGTCTAACAACGGAGTGTTGGGTAGAATTTTGTCTACTTGCCTGTAACCTGTAGGCATCTTAAATCCACCAAACCAGGCTCTCCATGCGTCGATTGATATCCCCATTTTGATCTATTGTGGTTCCTTTCGGCAATTAAGGCAGGTTTCTATAGATTCATTGATTTTTTTTTCTCTCAGTGATTTGAACTGACACCCAACTACACTCGCACAAGCACAGAGATCAAGATATAATAGGATTAGATATAGATGCTCTTGTGGAAAAACTTGA